AGCTATCAAAATAGCAAACTTGGAAACAACCCAAAGCAAGATTGACTAAATTTTACAATAGGCTAACCAAGCCCTCTATGCTGGTGACAAATCCATGGCCAGTAAACTATAAGAAAGAGAAGACTTTGCCATTAAAGGCATGAAGCCATTGAAAGTGCAGGAAACTCTAGCTCAGCAATTATGCAGTTGAAAATTTTATTCGACCTTCATAGTTGCCAGAGTATAATGGCTAAAAAACAAAGAATTCACATATTACAATATCTTTAAGTCATATACATTAATATTTTCCTGAAAAATTATAATTTTATATTCGGAAAGTGGACAGATAATAGAAATGCAACTGCAAGTCAAATGAAAGTGTCAAAGCATTATTCATGTATAAGAATCTTTAACTTCCTATGCCCTGTCATTTTTTACGTTTAATATTTTATTTAGGATTATATAAGATCCTTTTAGTAATGACTCATCCAATTATTATATTGGGTACCGGCATGACTACTTCATCAAAGTATCCATGCAACATAGGTGCAATTTTAATGTCTTGGTCACCAAAAAATGATATTGTGAAGGCAAAAAGGAAGGTATTAACCCTAGTGTTCGAAATATTAGAAACTTTTATTAGGATAGTAAATCAAAATCCATTAAGATATTTTACCGTGCTCAAAATTATAATGCTACATCCTTGAAAACTTTGAAAGCATCTTCACATGGTACCAAGAAGGCCTACTAAAAGAATGATAAAAAAGCCCATTAGTTTAAGTATCACTATTTCTCTATTGACTCAACTTCTTAACACAACCAGGTTCAATGCCGTTCAGCACTTAGCGAGGAATTTATGTGAAAGATGCAACTAGTTTTTAAGGGTAATCCACATTATATACAAAACTGGATAAGTTAATGATCAATCATAAGAACAAGCGAAAAGGCTAAGCATGTAACAGAACTGAATTGTGAAAAAAATGAAGGGAAAAACTCGGACATATATTCTAAACCTAAAGCGTAAATTTCAGCACAGACCTCTAATGTAGAATTGATCACATATCTGCCGCAAGGAATAATGATCTCCAGTACCAGTGTCATAGTTGTCCTCGAAAATGAGATGCTGTAAGCCAGCTTTTAATGCTTGTTTCAATCTGTTCACATCAATTACAAGAATGAATAAGTGCAAAATTTAGTGAAATAGAGTAAAAATGTAAAGTAAAGACAGGGTTTTGGCCTTCACATAAACATGCTCAATAGGTGGCTGATACATCAAATTGAAGTGTAAACAAATAATGAATTTTGAGATGAGAAAGTATTAGCAAGAGCTGATTAAACTGATAATCATATTATCAATTCTAATGTTAAATTTATTGAAATATTTGTTGAGGACTGATCCCTAAGCATGTATCAAGCAAAGTAGGACAAGCAAACCACAGAATGGACATACCTCTTCAGTTCGTTCTGGTGATCATCGAAGAAAACAACCACCTTGCTGAGATCAGAAATCCCATGTTTCTTCAAAATACTTTTCCAATCCATGCTCCCAAAATCCACAAAATCCTTGCCAGCAAAGTAAGTGCAGTTCCCATCAACATAAGCAGGTCCCTTCTTGAGATACTTTTCTGGGTGACGAGGTGTAATTGATATGATCCTTGTCTCAGGCATGGCCTGTCTCAAAACCCAAGTAGAATGCCCCTTGAAAGCCCCACTCTCTATCATCAGCTCCGGTTGGAGCCAGCGTGTCATGAACCACAGACCAAAACTGTGATCGAAGCCCATCCCATACATATTGTTTTTGATAGGACGCGTCTCATAGATTGGAACAAACTCCTCCAAAGCTTTAAGCAAATCCTTTGAGGTCCACTTGACTTTCTTCCCATGTTTCGATCTGCCTTTTGCCAAGGAAAAAGAATTGAAAGAAGTTGACAAACAAGAGAATAATTTAAATGATTCCAAATTAAATCTTCAACAACTTTAAGACAATAATACCCTAGAGTTTCATCATTTAACATAAAGTGATGACTATTAATATTGAGCAAAATAAAACCAGACAAAAGGCTAGCCAAGAAGGGGTGAAAGATCAGATACAAATTGGACATGATACTTACTATTTCCATATCCACTCACTAACATGGATACGCATGTTGATACAAACATGTCTAGGTAAGAAAAGCCCATATCCATATGCGCCAAAATCGAATGCGGATACAAATCAGATAAGAGAAAATATATGAGGGTAATACATAAGCATATAGGTCATGTGATAGTAATAAATTTCTCAAATGAAATTCCCTTAATATGTTCACCATACTAGAAAAGCTACGATTAGATCTCTTGACCATCAAATTCACAATAAGTACATTAATGTAATGGTAAACATAATTTCAACTGCATGATCCCTACATATGTTCAGGTACAAAAACAGATGTATCCATGGATATTCATATCTTTTTGCATCTCTAGGCATAGCCATGAACACCTAAGATAGACTCTAAGAGTGCAATTCATAGTCTAAAAGGTTCTGCTGAAGGATTGATTAATGGAATAACTTAACAATACTGTAAACCTGAAATCTACTCTCCATGAGTTGACGCCAAATTCCTAGCGAAGGCAACTGAAAATGGCAGGGGTTTAGCTGCACGGTTTAACCTCAGGTACATCAAACAAGAGTGTAAGCTAGTTGAGTAAATAGCAAACGTTTTAAAAAAATATCCAGTCCTAGTTGGGAGAATGAAACTTCACGCATTACGGAATTCAAACACATTCCCGAGATTTGCAAACGTCAATCAAGAACACAAACTATCCTACACTAAGGAATCAATCTCTATACAATTCAATCCAGCACCAATACGAGAATCAATAAGTAAAACTCAATATCCATTCAGATCTAAGAAAAAGCGAATCGAAATTCCAAACCCTAGGGTTTAGAAATCTCACACCAAGGCACACCGAGCGATCCAAAATCAGAAGCAAGGCCTTCAAGATCTCCACTCAAGAAGCTAGCCCTAGGCAAAGATTCGTAGCGCGACACGCAAGGATCGGATCGAGAGCGAGAGAAGACGACCGAAGCGAGCACGAGGACGACTAAGAGGAGGAAGGAGACGACGACGCAGGGGCCGCCGACCTGGTTCCCGACGGCGCCGGAGGCAAAGGGAGAGAGATTCCTCGCGATCCTGCGGCGATCGAGGATTGGCTTCCTCGTCTTTGACTTCGTCGTCACCGCCGGTGGCGCTGTCGTCGGATCGCGGGGAGCGCGGGCGAGCGGAGAGCAGTCGTCTCCTGCATTGTGAAGATTGAGATTTTTTTTCTATTTTTTAATGATGTTTTCTTTCAAATTTTGTTTTTGATTTCTTGGGGGTTTTGTTTTTGTTTTTGATTTTTACCCCTTCCAGAGGGTAGAGTGAGGAACTGAAGTGAGATTTGATGCAGAAGTTGCGCAGTTCTGCTCCCTCCAGGGGACTTCAGGGCCGTTTTGGGAAGGCCAGCAAGGACTAATTACTTTTTCGGCCGAGCGCAGATCATATCATGGGCTTACTTCGGCCTATTACATTAATGGGCTTATTCCTAGGCTCGTTCATAATGGGCCGCGTGAAAACTCTTGAGAAGAAAATTTAAAAAAAATAAAAATCATATTGGTTCGTCCATCAAAAATCACGTGCAGAAGATGGTCGCACTGCCCGTTTAAATAAAAATCATATGATGCTTGATTTTGTATTTAGTACATGAGTGAAAAATGTAATTATCTGATTCAGTTCAATCTAATATATTTAGCGCTGAGGTAAGCTGCACCGTTTTTCTCGATTGGGTGGGAAAATTTTTCCCAGTGTTAATTCTTTCAAAACCTTGAATACTTTTGTTAATTCAAAAACTCGATTTCTTCAAGAATATTTTTAAACTTCATATTAATGACTTCGATGCGTTTGAGTTCAATTTCTAATGTTTTTGATTGGTCAATCCAGTCAAAGAGCAAGCTATATCAGGCTTGAATCCGTATGAGGGGCTTGGCTTCTCTCCTCCCTCTCTTTGACTTTAGTTTTCCTACTCCTGTTACTCGGATATATATATGAGTTGAATTGCCAAATTTGAAAAAAGCTTCACAAAAATAAATTGAATATGTATCTTCCACCGTCCCCTTGAATATAGATCGGTCAAATTTCAACCGAAAATAGTAATGGCCTGTTAATAATTGACGAAGGCGTGATAGGAAAAAATATTAGATCAACATCATCAGATTGAATTCAAAGATTTATTGTGGACCAACCACACACATAAATTTAGAAGAGGATGCCCGAGAGTATTGTGTAGCATCTTAAGTCAATTAAACTTTTATATCTGACTTGTATAGAATCCTAAATATACTTAATTTAGTTCCATATATTTTTAAGATTAATTATTTATAGGTCATGAGCCTTATAGAGGTATTGCCACCATATTATCAATCAAATTTCTAATTAATGAGGTATTAGGTTTTTTAGGCTAGACCCAAAACTCTTACAAGGGAATTAGTTACATTTTTTAAATAAAAAAATAAAAACAATAAAAAGAAGAATTATCGAATAGGTAATTGCTCAAACTTGCAATTGAGCGCGCTCCAACTGCATGCCCTTATGAGCTGTGCAACAAATTAACCAATGAGCTAGAGAAATTTAATTGCAAGTACTTTTTGTTGGATTTAATCTAATAAATCTATTTGTGGGCACATATGATTAATCAATGTGTATTGCTATCTTTCAGGATAACCCACTAAAGTGATCAATTAATTTGGGTTAATTGGGTATTTAAATAAGTCATGGGGTTATATGTGCAGATACCAGGTTGTAATTGTAATTTATTGAGGGGCTAAATTACAAAAGTACAATATCTATAAATAAGGGGTTATGGTCCCTAACCTAGGGTTACACTCTCTAATTCTCTACACCCCCATCTAGTAAGAGAAATTCGGATTTAGAGGAACCCTAAGGTTAGAAGATCATCAAAAACCCAAATCAAGATTTCTTCTATGGATTCAGGTATAAGCTTCCGCTCCTTTATGATTCTTGTTAATCTCTTTGAATTAATCATGGCTATATGGTTTTAGATCTCAAGTTTTGATTTAGATCTAACAAGTGGTTTCAGAGCCACCTTGATTAATTCTTAGGGATTTAAGTTTTATTGGGTTTTTTGATCTTAAATCTCTGGTTAAAGATTCAGTTTTGTTTTTCGGATGAACAATAAATTTTTGTTCGGATGAATAGTAACGAAAACTTTCGGATGAACAGTAAAGTTTTTTCGGATGAACAGTAATTTTTTGGAATTTTTTGGATTTTTTCTTCGATTTTTCCTTCAATTTTTGGGGATCTGGAACAAGAAATCATCTTTTGCTTTTTCGATTCTGGATCTGGTTTTGAAAATAAAAAAAATCGAGGAATTTTTTTTTGGGTTTGGCGGCGGCGGTTTCAGTTTGAAACCCTAAGGGTTCATGGCGAAAATTAAGGAGGTGGTTACCTCAAACGAACTTCGCGTTCGTTCTCAAGTGAGCTTCACGCTCAAACTTAACCGAACTTCGCGTTCAGTTCTCAGTTGAGCATCGCGCTCAAGTTTAACGAACCTCGCGTTCGTTCTTAAGGTGAGCCTCGCGCTCAGGATTAAGGTGAACCTCGCGTTCAACTCAGGTGAGCGTCAAGCTCAATTTTAACGAACCTCGCATTCGTTCTAAGGTGAACCTCGCGTTCAACTCAGGTGAGCGTCAAGCTCAATTTTAACGAACCTCGCGTTCGTTCTAAAGTGAACCTCGCATTCAACTCAGGTGAGCGTCAAGCTCAATTTTGACGAACCTCGTGTTCGTGCTTCAATCGAACCTCGCGTTCGTACTTCAGACAAACCTCATGTTCGTACTTCAGACGAACCTCGCGTTCGAACTTCAGACGAACCTCGCGTTCGAACTTCAGACGAACCT